GTTTTCCAGAATAAAAAAGAAATAATAACAACAATAACTTTTTTTTAAACTAATAACAAATTGTCCTTTTGGGTCTATGGTGCATCTGTGTCAGTGTCAATTACAAGAAACAAAAAGAGTTGATCAGAAGAAATATAGAATGACTGAAAGCCCAGGATCTATTCAATTGGAAGTAAACTTTAATAGACTAATTTTGCAAAATAAACAAAGAAATTACAAGATGCCTGTCCACAATACCAAGAGCCTTGCCTCTATTTCTCCTTCAACAACTACCACCAAAATGGCAATGATCTAGGGATAAAAATCCCCCCAATGTAATATAAATTCATACTTTGTGTTTTTATCTGGTGTTTAAGAACATACTAAATTTTCAGTAAGGAATTTTAAAAGTTACAAGAGATTTCTTCTTCTTTTTTAATTGGTTCTTTTTAGTGATGCATGATAGTAGAGTCCATTTTGATGTGATTATACTAGCATGGAATGTATCTTATTCTATTTAAGATCTCATCCTTGTGTTGAACACAATGGTGGGAGTGTGCTTATATATGAACATAGAAAAGTTATGTCCAATTCATTCTACTGTCTTTCCTGTTCCCATTCCCCTTCCCTTCTCATCCTTCGCCTTTGGAGTTTTTAATTCAGTCTAATGGCATTTGAAGTTCCAAACCTCAGGAGGAAATACTACTAATATTTATCATATTATATTCAGGGTCTAAAAATCGATGTGAATTTTTTAAATTGTTGGTACATATTTTCAAAATTGTCCTTTAGAAAGACTATACCTTCCTCCCTGACAGTTAATCAAAATGCCCATTTCACTGAACCACTGGTATCAATAAAAAGACATGTTCATATAAAGAAGTTAAAATTCCTTCCATTTTGCCAAAATCCTTTGATCTCATTGAGAGATCAGCAAATATTTTTTGTAAAGGAACAGACAATGAAAATTTTAGGCTTTGGGGTCACGTGGTCTTTACTGCAAGTATTAACCCTGCCATTGCACATTAAGAGCAATCATAATCAACTACATAAATGTTCATATTGGTTTTACAATAAACATTTATTTACAAAAATAGTCAGCTGGCCACCTTTGGTCCATAAGCTATAGTTTGCCAATTAGTCTCAAAACTCTGTGTAGTCTTCTGATTTTAAAAAAAACAATCCACCTTTTAAAAATGTCTTTATTAGCATAATATAGTTATACATAATAGTGGAGTTCAGTCTGACATTTTCATACATGCATTGCAATATAGTTTGCTCCATTTTAGTTCCCAGTACTTCCTCTTTCTCTGCCTTCTACCTCCCCCTGTTATACCTTCTTCTACTGCACTAGTCTTCCTTCTATTTAATTTTTGTAATTGGTGCTTTATAGATATACATAAAGAAGGAATCCACTGTGGCCTATTCATATAGGTACATAGCATTATTTGTCAGTTTCATTCTGCAGTTCCTTCCTTTTCCCATCCTTCCTCCCTCTCCTTCAGTCCTCTTTCTCTACTCCACTGATCTCCCTTCTACTTTCTTGAGACCATCCCCTCCCCTTTTCCTTATTTTGCTGTAAATTTTGCATGTGAGAGAAAACATGAAACCCTTGACTTTCTGATTCTGGCTTATTTCACTTAGCATGATGTTCTCCAGTTCCAATTAGCAAATACCATAATTTTCCTCTTATTTATGGCTATGTAAAACTTCACTGTGTATACATACCACATTTTCTTTATCCATTCATCAGCTGATGGGCATCTGGATTGGTTCCATAAATTGGCTATTGGGAATTATGCTGCTATAAACATTGATGTGCCTGTGTCACTACAGAATGCTAATTTTAATTCTTTTGGATAAACACCAAGGAGTAGGATAGGTGGGTTATAGGGTGGTTCCATGCCTACAAGTCTTTTGAGGAATCTCCATACTACTTTCCAGAGTGGTTGTACTAATTTACAGTCCCACCAACAATATATGAATGTACCTTTCCCCCCACATCCTTGCCAGCATTTATTATTTGTACTCTGGATGATTGCCATTCTGACTGGAGTGAGATGAAATTTCAGTGTAGTTTTAATTTGCATTTCTCTGATTGTTAAGGATGTTGTGAACACTTTTTAAAATATATATTTGTTGGACCACTTGTATTTCTTCTTTTGAGAAATGTCTATTTAGATTTTTTATTAATTGTATTATTTGGATTTTTGGTTAAAAAAATCAATAATTCTTAGAGAGCTATAATTGTATGTGTGTTCTTTTTTTCTACTGACACATACAATTTGTCCATATTTGTGTATGTATACATATATATATTCATATTGTAATACCTATCACAATGTCATTTACCTTAAGAGAACAAAAAAAGAAAGGACAACTTTAAATTGACAGAGTAGAGACTCTCTAACTTCCTAAAATGAAAATCTCCATCATCACAGCTCAAGCTTACACAGCAGTTTACAGCTTAGAAAGCATTTGTCACTTGTTATCTCATTAGATCTTCAAACACTACGAGGTGACTGATTATGCCAGTTTCACAGATGGGGAAACCAAGGCTCAATTGGTTAGCTCTGAGACTTGAGCCCATAGGCGACCTTGTCACCACAATTGCTGTGTAAGTTGTGCACAAATCAGAAACGTCGTTGCTGAAAATTCCTCTGATAGAGCACACCCAGCACAGCAAAATTACATATCTTACCTCTGCTTTTCAGGTAAATTGTTTGTTTTCTCTTTAAGACCTGAAGATTTTGTCAGCAGGAACGAGTGGTAATTAGTAAGATAAGAGAATGATCTTGTATTCTAGTTTGCTAATGTCTGTTTTGTGCCAGAATTATCCCTGTGGCACTAAGCCAGGGAGAATGAAGTAGATATAAATGTCTAGGCAAAAGCCTGAAAAATAAATTCACAGGAAAGAAAATATACAATTAGGGAATGAGCAAACTAAATCCAAAGATATTTTCACAAGCTTTGACAGTTCTTGCAATAGAGAAGAGAGATTCAGATCGCCAAATAGCATAAGAGAGCTGCATGTTTTTTTCCTTCAAAGAAAGATACCAGGAAAGGCACTAAAACATATTGAAAGAAAGATGTTCTTAATTTTTTCTTAACTACAGAGGCAGTGTTATTCTGTGACCACATAGAACAGTCTGCTGAACTTCACCATTTTTTTTTTTTTTTCCTAATCTGTATGTCTGGGCTCTCTGCACACTCCTTAGGCAGACACAAAAGGGAGTAGGCACAGCTCTTGTATTTCAGCACCTGTTCTGGAATGCTTAGAGCCAGTCACTCTTCATCTTTGCTGGTGAGGGACTCTTCTGTTCCTGGTTGTTAAGGAGCCAGGCCAGTCTATGGGCCATGTTATTTCCCACTTAACTCCTGCCGTTCTCCAGCCCTTGAGGCTGGGCTTTATGAAGTCCCTCACAAATTTTTCTTCCCATATTTTCCAGTTTGCAGTATCCTGACCTTTCCTCTGAATGCAGGAGGCAAGTGAGGTTGCATTCTAAGTAGCAGGTTGCTTTACTGCCAGCTCTGCTACCTGCAGAGGGCTGGGTTCTCAAAGTACCTGCAGTTAAAGGAGTAACGTCAGCACTATATTTTGAAAAAAGAACAAGCCCAGAGACAGCTGAGGCTCTTCTCTAGAATGCAGAAGGGAACTGTTTGGATTTTTCTTGGAAAAAACAGCCTTAAAAATGTCTGCAGAATTCAGCTACCTAAGCAATATGTGATCCGGTGATAGACAAATCTATGAAATGAGTAGAACCTAACTGAAGAAGGGCAAATTGCAGAAAAGCTGGCAATCAGTCTCAAGATGGTAAGTAACAGCACCAGAGGGTTTATAGTTCCAGCCCCTTTCATTAAGTTATGTAAGCTCAGCCAGCAAGTTCTGCTGTCTGGACTGCATCTTGTCCATTGTCAATATGGGAAAGACAATGCAGGCTATGATGTTTGTGCACAGATGAAAGGAGAGTGAGTTTTGTAAACCATCAAGTGCTATCCCAATGTCAGGAACCATTACACAGTCATAGATCTCACCCTGCTAAGGATCACTAGGGATGTCAGAAATGATTCTTGTGCAGGTTTATCAATACCCCCTTCAAGATGTACTGAACATCCTCTGGCACTTCAATAGCATTCCAGTGTGAATACCTGGCAAAGATCCAATCTCCTTGCATACAAAGGTGCTTTAGGGGAGAAGACCCATTAAGAAGGAAATGGAATTGTGTCTATGATTTCAAGGTTTCTGTCTGGACCTTGTTGGTCTTTCTCCTCTCTCCCTGAGGAAGAAGGTGAAGTGCACATGGCAAGCCTTTGTCCTTGTACTAGCAAAAAAGAGAGAAAAAGAAAGCTAAAAGTTTAAAATTTGATTAAAAATATGATCGGAATGAATCACCCTATCCAAGTTTGTGTATTCTTCATATAAAGTACTTGATTACCTTTCTTTTATACCTGTCTTACTGGTCCTAAAACAATTGATTCTAAATCAAGGAAACCATTTCTATGAGAAAGAATCTATAAATGTTCTTTCCTGACCATTATTATACTTTAAAAAGTAATATATTCTTTTTGTAATGGGCCATGTGAAATTGCCTTTTTAAAATAGATCGGACACATTCAAATACCAACAATTTCATATAATTTCATCTGGTCAGAGATTGAACTAGAAGCAACCTAAACAACTTTGTATGCCAGGAATTCAGCCTAATGTTTATTAAATTGTGACCCACATAATCTACTTCTTATCACAATTTTTGTTCCAATTCATTAAGTGCTTATTTAAATCTTTTAAATGTTTTTTAAACTTTTAAATTGAAGACACAGTATTTTAAAGGAAGTAATAGAGTTTCTACCATTTAAATCAATTTTTAAGGGGAGCTACTCTTAAAGAGAGCTGCCTCATTAAAAACAAAAACAAAAACAAAAACAAAACTCCACTCCCTTAAATAATGGAATTCAGCCTTTGTATCCAAAGAAACAAATGATAGGAGCTGTAAAGAGAGATTTATTTATTTATTTATTTATTTTAATAAAAAGAGTCCCACAGCATTTATTTTCATCTGGTAATAACATAGGTCATCAAAACAATGTGAACTAATGCTTTAGAACTATATTCCAGGCAAAGGGCAGCTAAATTAAAAAAAAAAAAAAAATGTTGCTTTCTCTGTAATTTCCCACTTCATTGATCATTTCTAGTTGGAGACACTTTGTAGCAGAGTAATATTATCTCCTTTTAGCATGATCCGACCCAGCTGTTTTCTTGACTTTGTTTTAGAATGAATCTCTTCTGCATCATCTAATACAAGGTTCATGTATTCATCAAAACCAATAATACAGCCCTCTCTCCGCATATTCACTTGCTCATAGAGCCACACCTGAATCCGGGATCTGTTTTGCAAGTATCTGAAGATGAGGTTCTGTACCACAGCAGTTAAGGACGAAATCCATCACAGCACAGGCTCTGCTCCCTGAAACTGAGGACCGACCCAACCCTCATCCCAACTTCGGCTTCTGAAGGCGAGCTCTGGTGCCTACTTCAAGAAGGGCCAAACCGGGCCTTCGCTGGGGGGCGGGGGTGGCAGTGGGCGGAATCATCCTCCCAGAATCTCTCTTCCTCCTACCCTAGACTGTGAACTCCCGCTTTCACTCCGTATCCACCTAACGTTGTCTCCCCTCCTCTCTCCCCGCCATTCCTGCACTTCTCCCGCAGGGGCGGCCCGAGCCCACCCCCCACGGTTCTTCAACTACCCGCGCTTTCTCCTGGCTCCCGAGAGATTTATTTAAGGAATTGGCTCATGCTATGATGGAGGATGGTATCTCCAAAATTCACAAAGCGGGTCATCAAACCAGGGTCCCAGGGAAGAGCTGATCCTGCAGTCCAAGTCCAACAGCTGCTAACAGAATCCCCAATCTTTTGTTCTATTCAGGCCTTCAACTTGTTGTATGAAGCCCACCCACACTAAGGAGGGTGGCCTGCTTTATTCCAAGTCCATCAATTTCAATGTTCATTGCATCCCAAATGTTAATTTCACATTCCTCATAGAAACATCTAGAATATTGTTTGGCCAAATATACTGACATCACGGTCTAGCCAAATTGACACAAAAAATTAATCATCACAACCTCATGCAGAATATTCTACATACTATACTGAGTAAAATTATAAACCAGAGGAAAAATGTTGTCTCTCTCATAACCACTAAATTTATATATTTACTTTACCATAATAAAATGGTGGCTATTTTTCCAATGCATCCTTACACGAGAACTTGCTGCTCTCATACCCTTAAGACAGATGACAAGCAGAACACAGGCAGACAGTGTCCCTTTCTGGTACTATTTCTGAGGGAGATCCCATTTCACCTCCTTCAAAACACAATGTGACATGTTTACCTTCAAAATTCAAATTCAGTTTTGAGAATTTAATCAAATATCCTGAGATAGAATTTTTTTTTACAACCAAATTTGGCAACCACTCACACAATGAAAAGTCACACAGTCTCTTCCTTTCAAAATCTATAGAGATTCTGCTCTGCTGAACTACCTAGGAAGGAAGAGAAAAATGATCCAGAGTCAGGAAACACTGAATTATTTTTAAATCTATCAATCATCTTTCCCCACAAACCTCTAAACTCATTCACTTAAGACTTCATTTGCTTAACTGATCTTTATAGAGCCCATTGAGAGGTAAGTAATAACAGTAACTAGAAAAACTCACTTTGAAGTTCACCTGCCATTCATTCAGGGGTTCCAAAGGCTTCAGCGGCTCCAGTGGGCAGGCTCTGGGAGAAACTGCAAAGCCCCCTGGGAGTAGGGAGCAGGGCAGTGATAAAGGCAAAATTAACCTTCTGGCAATTTCCCCCGCTTTGAGGACTTAAGCCAGCGTTTAATCTCATTGGGATGTGGTCTTTCCTGTTGGCTTTTAAAAATTAAATTTGTCAAATACAATTCACCTAATCTTATATGTAGTATTCTTATTAGGGTATTACCGTGTAAAATATATTATCATTATAAGACTATTACAAGGGCTAAAGCTCAGAAAAATAGAGCAATTATCATCACTTATAGATCCATGGAGAAGCAGTGTGGCATAATGGAGAAAGAAGTCTCATAAATTTGATTTCAAAATCCACTAGGTGGGTTCAGAACTACTTCAGTATTCATGTCCACCTTCTTCCCCATCGGGCATTTCCTGTGGTTTCTATCTAGATCTCCTGGGTCCTTCTCCTCTCTCCCTGAAGGAGGAGGTAGGGCACCTAGGGCAAGCCTTTCCCCCTCTTTGTATCAAGAAGACTAATCCAGCAGGTGCACAAGAGAACTAGGAGAGAACAGTGCCCCAGGTATTTCACTCTTCAAGAACTTTGTAGTATAAATATATCATAATAATATACTGAATGAGAATCTTAACCTGATATAATGCAGTTTTATCTTTAGCCTTTCATTTTATCTTCTAAGAGATAATAAGAGTTTTTCTCAAGATCCTCTTCTTGTGTTTTCTCTGAATCCTTGATAATGATTTCCACAATGCTAAGCACGTAGGAGAGGCTGAATGAATATGTAATGATCTACTAGATTTTTGTTTGACTCTTTATTTCTGGGTAAGCAGATTGGAGTAAAAGAGGAAAGGATATCTGTTTTATTCAGTATGTTATTATGATTTTATTTGAGTGGGAAAACAAATTGAGCACATTGCTTGTTATTTCCTGAAGATTTCACTGTATCTCAGGCATTATAATATTCCAGAGGTGTGGAAATAAGGCCTACACCAGAGGCCAGGAAGAAAAAGAACAAAAATGGCAATCAAGAATCTCACAGGTGAGATGAAAGGTATATGCTGTGCTTGACCTTTCCTTTCTCTTTCTGTGTGATTCCCTGGAAAGATCTAACTAGTACCTGACACATCTCTCCCACTGTCAACCTCAAAGTCCCTCTACTCTTAGCCCTGGGCCACAGCTGATTGACAGGGCAGACACCTGATCCAAACCAAACCAATCAGATTTGAAACTAGGACAGTGTCTCTGTAAGGCTCAGCTATAATTAACTTTGGGACCAACCTTCCACAATAGAGCAGATATGCCACCAGTTGTATTGAGCAAAGGAAGCTGGTCCCAGCGAGAATGAAGTCACTGAGAAGAAAGGAGAGGAGGAGAGAAAATTCCTGTGCCTATACCCAGTCCCTTTCTCAGATCAGTCTACCTTCTTAGTTCTAGCATCCATCCAGCATTCTTACAAGTTAATTGTCAGTTTTTGTTTAGTCTATCTGAATTGATTTCTGTTACTTGAGACCAGGAGTCCAAGTTAATACAGTGGGGATCTATTTGGAAAGATAGCAGGGAAATGGAGAAGGAAACATAATCTAGTGCCTTTCTGGACAGATATATTCATGATAAAAATAATTTCTTTCCAGTGGAGCCTTCTGAGCTGACTCAGGCATTTGGTATTTCAGTTACCCATAGATTCAACCATCATTGTCTTCATCTGGCTTCTTAAATCTGAAATACAGTAACCCTGAAGTGCAAAAAGGTTCTATGTGGCATGCTCTTTTTCCTCTAGCCTAGCAGATGCACAGCTGCCCTTTGGGAATGTGCTATTTTTTCAAAGGCCATAAAAGGATATTCATTACCGTTGGTAGGATCACATACACTCTTGGGGGAGGCCACACATCATGAATATGTAAAAGGAAAACTACCATAGGAAATGTTTCCCTCCCATGCTTGCTGACTTTTAACATTATTTTTATTTCCATTTTCTTTACTAAGCTTTTCATGCATGCCAAAAATTCTCATTGGTTCACCATTCATTTCTATGCCATTGATACAAGTTCATTTGCATTTGTCCACCATCTCCATGCTTCTTCCTTGTTGTTCCCATAGCATTCATACATACTTCTATAATATTGCCTTCTAAAGCACTATTTTGTGTACATTTTTATCTCTCTGTATATTGGAAGAGGCCATGCCTTCTTGCTATAACCCCAGTGTCCCATACATTGATAAGAAATAAATGTTGGTTGAATGAGCAAGTGTGTGTGTAAGTAAGTGAATGAATGACCTTGCTCCATCCAGCATTTCTGATATTTCAGTCATTTATTTTAAATGCATCTCCCTTTCTTCTTTTGTCAGAATAATTGACCAGCATGCTGTCTGACTGAGCTCCTATAGGTATTCGCCTTCTGCTTTAACCCTATAGTCTTTTGCTGTGTCTTCTTGGCCAGGTGACAGTCGGTCATTCAACCGAACATTTATCTAGCTGTTGTTGTGAAGGTGTTTAGTGGTTGTGATTAAAGCTCGAATAGTTGATTGATTTTAAATAAGGGAGACTGACCAAGATAATCTGGATGGGCCTGATTCAATCAGTTGAAAGGTCTTGAGAGCAGAACTGAGGTTATCCTGAAGAAGAAGTCATTCTAACTGTTGGCAGCAGGTTCAGACCATGTCTGAGAGTTTCAGCCTTCCTTTCCTGACTGCCTGCCCCACAATTGTGTGCCCAGTTGTCTCTTGTAGGTCTCCTCCCACTTTCACTTCCTTGGGTCAACCTTGACTGATATAAAGATTAACAAGCCTTGTGTCAGTTGCTGTGATTCACTGGCCTTAGACTTTCATTTCAACCCTTCCTATCCAATGATTTTACAAATGGCCACATCATACCAGCTGAGGGTAACCTCAAGATCTTTTAGCATGTCCTATCGGCACTACAAGTTTTTGCATGATCTGCAGAGAGTCAAGCATGACATATCTATTCACCTCTTCCTTTGGAATGGTTTGGGTTTTTCCCTTCAATCATGTTTTTCCCATTACGTATACTATATTAAAAACATTGTGACATTCCCTGACTGACTTCCTTCAGTCTTGAAGGTAAATTCTACTATTGTAAGCTTTTAGTACAGGGGGTAGCTTCCAATTTCTACTATCTTTCTTAGTCTTTGACATTCATTCTTTATTTCTTCTTTATTCTATTTGCCCAAGGTTAACCATAAAGTCCTCAAAAGTTTTGTCCAGGGGTTTGGGATGTAGGACGTGAAGCAAGTCCTGGGTTTAATCCCTAGCACACACACATACACAAAGTATTTACTTCCTCATTTTGGGGTGGCTTAGGTTTGTTTATACTTTTCCTATTTTTAATATCTCTCTCTCTCTCTCTCTCTCTCTCTCTCTCTCTCTCTCTCTCGCTCTCTTTGCCTTTAAGTCAGTGCTACTCTACAGTGAAGTTTATCTGCACAACTTTTCCTTCAATGGCACTTGACTTCACCACTTTTCATTTATGAGCTGACTAACACTTCTCTTCATTGTTTTAATAGGAGTCTAATATTTTTTGAATTTTTACCTTTCAAGCTTCCTCAGACTTTTAGAAGAAGAGAGATTCATTTGTTGCTACAGATGGAGTCTCAAACAGCGTCTTATTCACTTTATGTAGCACACTGATCACTGTGTGTTGTGGGACATAA